TTTTCTCAGCTCAATGAAAATGGCACATATGTAGTGGATGGTAAAGCAATTTTAAGGACAGCAGTAGAAGTGATAGAAGCACAAAAAACCTGCTGTTTCATTGGGGGTGGAGCGAGGGGAGAGAAAGTGTGGACTTTTTTAGTGTATTTTTTGGTATAGACTGGGCTCTGTGCTGTGATTTTTGCTTACATAATATTTTAGTGTCCCCTTGTCACTCTTTTCTGAATAGGATCTGAACCCCATCTTGCCACGTGCTGTTAATATTAATGACCACATCCCTGCTGTGTGAGTAAAGTGAAAACAGCAAAGTTAACAGGCAGAATGCGTACAAACTAGTCTGAAAAGGCTCCAAATAAAGCTGCCTGCCTCCATTTGTATGTGTGTGCATGTGAGCACTCCATGTTCATTAAAAGCTGCTACTTTTAGAAAGAAAAAAAAAAAAAGAGTTATCCAGGGGAGTAATACTGAGATAAATTTACTTATAGTAAATATGGTCATGAGTTCCTGCTCGTTTCAGAGTGAGGTCTCATTTTCTGATGTACTCTCATATTTTTGAAAATACCTCTTAACAGTCAGAATGTGGGGTTTGCTGGTTATTTCCCTTGGAAAAGGCTGCAGAGAAAACTGAATCTACTGTGACTAAGAGATACAATTCTCATCTTTCCCTCCTTTTTAGTGTTATATCTTCAGACATTGGTAGAAACAATGTGCATCATGAGGAGTGGAGAGCAAGCTCTGTAGAGTTTCAGATTCTTGTAGTGGATCTCAGCTTCAGCACTCAGCAAGCTTGAACTGAATAAAATCCCTGTTGGTCAGGCACTGTGCCACAAATCATGCAAAAGCCAGGCTGCAGCAGTCACTGCAGGCAGGAAAGATTATCCTGAATCTAATTTCTCTTCCAGCTCCTACTGTCCTACTTAGAACACTGGGAAATTGATTTTCCAGCTTAGCCTCCAAGGGGAGGAACTTTTCCAAACTGATGTCTCCCAAGATAGAACAAAGTCAATTGATTAACGGGAATAATGCACTAATAAAAGTAGATCTACAGGGTGGCTTAAAGGCATGAGGTGTCTCCTTTCAGGCTCAGTCTTCTGCATGAGAAATAAGAAGCAGGGTGTGTGTGTGTATAGGCAGATGAGGTACAGATGGGGCTGTCTGGATGTTATCCAAGCCAGGTGTTCTGTCTCCTGCCTTCTCTGCCTTCCTCTTCTTATTGGGTTTATCCAGTCCACCCTACCAGCCTCAATATGCTGTTTATTTCTAGGGTATATCTCAGATATTTTCCTACAAATACCATTTTTTGGTAGTCCAGGCCTTCTGAGGTTTTTCTTTAGACCACATCTAGAAGTTTGATGTAACTGGAATAACATTTCTTCTTTACCTTAGGAGTAGCTTACTACATATTTACTATATATCCTTCCTAATAAGGATAGACAAACTGCTAAATTTGCATCTTTTTCAAGAGTGGTAACTCTGAGACATTTGCAACTTTTGTCTTATTTTGAGTGCATATGAGCATTTTAAAGGTGCTTGTGTGAGTAGCTTTTCCAGTCAGAGGAAAGGTTTCTCCAAAGACTAACTTTGATGCTTGGAGATCATGTCTGTAGTATAACTCTCCTCTCTGACTAAAACACAGAGCTAAGTCATGCATTAAAGAGAGCCCTTTTGAATACAGCTCTTCTTTTATATTTTACTGGATGTATAATCATTAAAAATTTATGTTATTAGTATTCCTCACCTGAGTAGCCACCTATCTCTCCTTTGTCTTTCTAGTGGTACAAAAACTCGATACAGTTTCTCCTACATTTTCTGGTTATTGTTTATTGGCTACTTACCCCTCACCCTAAACCAAAATCCATCTGAAATATACCTAGGGAAAAGCTCAGTTCTGTAGCACTACTTAGTAGAACTTTGCATCATCTCAGTGTAAGCATATATCCTGTGGGCATCACCACCTCTCCTGCAATATGCTAAATTAATTTTTTCTAGTCTCAGTGGACTAGATTCAGTTAAAGATTTGAATTGTTCTACTTTTTCGTAGACTATGTAATACTAGATGAGATAAAATATTTTGTGTTAGGTCCAAAAATGAAAAGACAGCAGGATTCCTGTCAGATCAATATTATCATTTCTGTTTGCTTGTCCTTTTTTTTATGGGGGAAAAAGGAAAGAAACAGAAAGCAAATCTTGTTCCACTCCTCCTATATATAATCTTATCTAAAGATGAAATAATTTTGTTTAGTTGGAAAAAGATGAGTAAAATACAGTTACAGGATAGACTTATTTACTTTTTTCCCCTCAAAAATGAAGGATTCCTCCTCTAGATGTTGATTTTTAAAGACTTTTACATGTTTTCTTGTTCTTGGTAGACCAATTTGTAAAACCCATTTTAGAGTCTCAAAGTTTTAATTTTTAAGAATAAAAATAACAAAATTACTTTGGTCTTCTCCTAGTTAATACTACAGAAGACTAAAGATATGAGTGTTTGGCTAATCCCAGCATTTGAAATTCTTACTCTTAGCTGAAGCCTGTTAATGGTGTAATAATGTTAATAAACTGTGCAAGAGAAAACTTAGTAAGACAGAATTCTGGTAGTTGCTGGCATCTTTGTCAGTTTAGATATGCTCAGCATCTTGTTTTGCTTTATCTAAACACAGTACTTTAACTGTAGATAATAGAATAAAATGCAATAATAAAGTTAATGGATAATTTTGTGGGAAAGATTTCTGTTTAACCACAACTCTTAAACACCGTTCTCTTTTTCAGCTCTGCCTAAGTGAAGAACACTTCTTAGTTAATTACTGTAAAAATTCATTTTTCTTTTCATTTTGTGCCATGTTCCATTTCAATAAAGTTTGTTTTATAGTTCAGGACTCCAGAAAAGGAACACTGCTGTCTGAAATGCAGGTTCTCAAATGTAGCTGAACTGATGATTCAATTCCAGCAACAAATCTTGGCCCAGTCACTGATCATTGACAGGTTTCATTTGCCAAGTGCAGTGTCTTCTGCAGTAATTCATAGTTCTTAGTTCTTCCCCATGTTTTCATAAGTTATGGAAAACAAGTGATGTATAAACAGAAGATGTCATATATCTCACAGGTCTGTTTCCTGCCTCTGTGCTGTGGTTATGAACCCAACACAAAATGCACTGACACATCCCCTGTTCTGTCCAGGGTGAAATGGGCCGCCCTCTGTAGCAACATGACTTTGGATCTTCCTCCACTGTTGAATCCTTTGGGGATGTATTCTCTGCAGAGCATGAATATATGCAGGTCTTACACTGTCTTTAACACAACATTTAATTCCTTCCATCTTCCTTGTTTACTCACGGGAAAAGAGCACAAGTGCTCTGAGGTTCCCTTTTTGCTGTTAAGCTTACAACCACTAAAAGTGATTTTCGTATTACTCCATGGTTGATTTATGTGTAGACCTTTTTATTGTGTAGCAGTGATTTTAGGGGCATGAGTCCTTGTGTAGAATCAGGGGCAGAAATGAGTGCATTGTATGTAAGAACAGCCCAGCACCCTTACAATTAAATCCGTGCCGACAGGACAGAGCAGCATTTAGGCAATGGCTGATCTGTAAGACCAGGAGGAGAGACTGTTCTTTCTGTTCTTTGTGTCAGAACAGGGGACATATTTTGACTTCAGTCAGAACATCTCACAGTGGCTGTCATAGCAAATTCAGCTGGGCATAGCAGTGAGGGGGGGTGTCTCATGATAATTTTGTCTTTGTGCAATTGCCAGTACATTAAAATTCCTCCAAGTCAGTTCTACCCATGACAGTAACTGCTAAGTAACTGCTAAGCTTCACCCACAAGGTTTTTCATCTTATTTTTTTCTCCTGTCCAGTTGAGGAGGGACACTGAGGGAGTGCTGAGTGGGTGTCTGACAGCCAGTGTGAAGCCCTAGCAGATGAGCAGGTTGAAAGTTGGCTTATATAAGACTAGTGATCCTTTGCTTTAACCTGAGATTGCCTTCGTACTTTTGACCATTTTAATATTTAAAAATATTTCAGTTACAGACGCCTCACTGCAAACGCCTGAACTTTAAAACTTTCCTTGTGAAAAGTTTCCACATATCCACAAATCTTGCCATTGCTGTCATACTTAATGTGTGAGTTTCCACAACTTCCCTGAGAGAATAAATGCTTCAGACAATTGGAAAGTGCCTATGCCCTGGTTCTTCAATTTTGTACTTTTTTGGACATGACAGACCATAACCATATGAGTCAGTGAGATAAAGATGTTCCAGTACATCCTATAGAGGAACTAGAGAAATAACACCGACTTGTCATTCCAAATAAATTGTCCTAAATGATTACTTAGGGGGTGAGAAGAAACAAGTTCACGCTATTTATTGGAAAAACAACAATATAAAGAAAGAGCACTGAAGGATCATTAGGTTGTGTCATACTGTGAAGGAAAACTAGGAACTGAGTTGTCTTCATATGTTCAGCATTTGGCAGATAATCGTTCTGTGATTCTGTGGTTCTTATGACAGCAGGGAAGTCATTGTATCTTGATTCCCATTCCCTTTTATTTGTGTGGATCTCTGCTAAGGAAACCCCTCTAAATCATGCTCATTCAGGAAACACTTTAGTCCAGTGGTCACCCTGGTATTGTATAGTCAGCTATACAGAGATGGATTTAAGCCTCTAATGCAGTGTTTTCCTGAATTCAGAACAGTCTCAAACCACTCTCAAAATGTGGAGTGAAAATATCTGACAGCAATGTGGTTTTCTGATTCAAATCCTCAATCAGAGGCTGTAACCTGATTTTTTTGAATTATTTTAAAATCTTAGTCTATTTCCATCATGACTTTAATGTTTCTTCCCCCTTTTAATCCAGATGGCATTCCAGTAATTTTGTGCTTTTTTTATATAAACATAATAATTGCGTGGCATATAATTTATAAATATTTTCTTATATGTATAGTTTTGCGTCTATATCAGACAGATATTTAAAAATAAACATGAATTGTTTATCCTTGTTTTTCCAGATGACATCAAGCATCTATAGAGTGAATGTTGCTCGTCATTGCTTGCTGAGTATGTGACAGAGTTGGACGGAGGAAGAACTGAGATCAGATTCCTGATCCTAGACCTGTTCCTAGGCCTTTTCATCTGAAAGTCCAAATTTACACTATTTCCTATGGTTTCTTTTGCTTGCAGCAGAACGGAGAGCTTGTTGAAAGTATTTTCTCATTATGGACTTTGAGTGCTATTCTCAAAATTAGTACTAATTTGAATATAAAAATAATTTTTGAAAATTGAAGTAATGATTTTAAAATTAATACTGATTTTGAGAATAGCACGTGCAAGGTGCTGTGAGTGGCAGTTCTGCAGCACAAAGGAGAATGGGGAAATAAACTGATTAGTAGCAGTTCTTCAGGAATGGATTTTGGTGTTACAGTGGTAAATTGAATGTGACTCTGCAGTTTTAAATTATTGCAAGAAGTATAGGAGCCATGCTGGGTTGTATTTGAAAATGACTGTAGCCTAGATGATGTGTAAAATAATGTCTGCTTTGCACAGCATTCTTAATGCCACAGTTATGTCTGTCTTACTGTATTTTAAAAAGAAAAAAAGAAAAAAAGGACCATCTGAAGAAAGCTAAAGAGCGAGCCAAAAAAGGTTAGAAATCCAGACAAGATATCATAGGCCTTAATGACCTGGAACTATTTAGCAGAAGGACAACATAATTTGTTCTCCATGTGGCTGAGAGAACAAGAATTATGATGCTTAAATTACAGCAAGACAGATACATGTAAATATTAACAACTTTCTAATGGTAAAACAGCAAAGCAGATTTTTGAATCCTAATTCTCAGAGGTTTTAAAGTCAAGTTAAATAAATACCAGTTTAGGAAGGACTTGGATATGACACGTATTTGCTTTGAAATGAGGCTGAAATAATAAATGACTTCTCAAGACCTTCTGTTTCAGACACATTTTCTATGACTGGAATTCAGCAGGAGCTCCACTGAAATGTAGCAGCTGAGTCAGTAACCCTTGAACAGAAAAAGATCCACTGTGTTCTATTACTTTCACTACCTTTGTCACCATATATCTGAAACTCTTCAGTTGTAATTTCTTTGCTTCCAGAGAAATAGTTAATCTTTGTAGCCAATATTACTTCACAGTGACATGAAACTGCAACAATATTGTGTTTTTGTTGCTAAGATGTAGAGACAGCTTGCTTTTTTTCTCAAACAAAAGCAAAAAGATTTAAAAATGGCAAATAAGTGTCAAATAATTCTGTCTCAGATCATTAAATGAAGATTCAAAGATAATAATCTTAATATCAAGACAAAAATTACATTTCATATCAGACTTCTTGCTCTTGAGAGCATGCTTAATATAGAGTTAAGTTAAAGTAATTGAGGAGAATAAAGTATTTGCATAATTATATTCTGGAAATTGTTGTTGATCAGTCCGTTGAAATCTCCTGGAACACACAAATACATTGCTTTGTGAACCTGCTATTCCCAATATTACCTGTTTCATCTAGAGCAAATCTCATTAATACTACCAGTAAGTATGGGAAATATTGTCTGATGTACTTTGAGATTAATTATACTTGTGGCAATCTCTCCTTTATAAGAGAAAGCAATTCATTCAAACAATAGCAATTCTTTCTGAATTCACTTCAAATGTCGTTATGATAGAATGCAATTTTGGGAATAATGCAAATGTTTCAGTAGCTGGAAGCTATTTTGTTTTAATGAGGTATGCTCTAACATACCTCATATGCTCTGCAGTTTCTACCATTGGCATGATAAAGTAATACAGAGACAATGAATATGTTTAAATTTAGTATTGGTGTAATTCATCTGATGCTAAAGCTAAATTTAGCTAGTTGCTGTATTTTATTTGTGCAGATGACTCAAAAATAGTTTTTTTCTGCCAAGTTGTACCTTATAAAGGTTCAGTATCTAATTTTAATTTTCTTATAGCCATAATCCCTATGTTTATTGTGAACAGGGAGAGCTTGATGTTGTATTTCAGGAAGGAGAAAGCACAGTTCAATTATGTATGTGATCCAAGCCAAAACCTATTTGCTTACCAGGAAGCTGAAAAAAGAGGAACTGGTAGCTGTAATAACAGCTTTAATTTTCAGAAGCTTCTTGTCTGTATGCTGAAATTTTTCCTGTTATGCCCTACTATTGAGGACTAACATGCCCTTCTTTTCCACATGTAGTGCAATCTTGTTTTTTCCTGCTGACTGGGGGATTTATGTGACAATACAAAAGAAACAATTTAGCTTAATTGTGGATGTGTATTTCACTGGTTTTCTCTTGGCTGATCGTACCCAGAGATGATGGGAGTTGTGGTATTCTAAGCAGGACTTGTTTGGGATGAACAAAACTATGTCATGGGTGTATGATCTTGAGGTCTTCTCTGGTGTTGCTGAGTCTCTGCTGGGAGGTAGAGGTGTCAATGACCTGTAAGGAGACCCCTGGAAACAAATAATATCACTGGGGGGTGGGGGGATGAGGCTGGGAGGTGGTGGTCTTAAGGTCAGCAATTCAGGGATTCAACCTGAGAATGAAGAATTGAAAAAGCAATGAGTTGAGTAGTGCAGAATTTGTAGTGCAATCCTGTCAATCAAGCGAGAGGGGAAGAGCAAGTGGCAAAGCTATAAAAGCAATAAGAGAAAGGTTGAAGAAAAAAAGAAATAAAGCTCATCAATAGCAAATGCCTATTAGAAAGGTATTTTCTCTGGTCCCTACAGAGCTCTACTGTGCAATTTAACAGATGCTTTGTTCTTGCAGATTATTTTTCACACAGCTTCAGCTTTACAGATAAAGCAAGGTCAGGAAGAAAAACATTCTTTTTCTCAGGAATGGTCAGTCCAATGGGAAATATCAAGCCAAGAAGCTATTAAAGTCAAGATATTAAGATTTCCATAAAGATCTTGAATGTATAGATTAAAAGCTGCAGAAAAAGAGTACCCATTTAAATATATGTCTTATCTGAACTTTTCTAAGCATATTAAAACAAGCAGGACAGGCAAAGAAATACTGTTAGACAAATCTAGGCCACATACTTAACTGGAATGAATCTCTGATCACTTTTCCCCTCTGTCATCCTGAGATTACAATTTCAGTTTGGCTCTTCGGAGAATTCTTTAATGCCTGTTGCAAGTTACTCTGGTTAAAGTGCTCTGATCTCCTGATACACCTGAAAAACCAATAGTGAGGAGAGGGTACAGAAGGCAATGTATAGCCAGAGTTCATATTACTATCATAAAATCTGGCTTTTTAAGTCTTTTTTTTTTTTTTTTTGGATACATAGTGCTCTGTCATCTTAATCAGTTGGTTTTGAGTGTTTAAACTTGTGCCTTCATCTGGTACCATTGATCGTGTATATCAACATGGTAACAACCTAGGCTTAGATTATTAAGTAGATAACTCTGTTGCAAACATTTGTTATTTCTTCTGTGTCTGAATTTTACTGTTATTCAGATAGACTCGTGTTGTGACCATGGGACTTGTGAAAGTGTAAATGTTCTGTATGTAGGCACAACCCAAAAATTCTGTTTTCTGGCAAAAAGCTTTATGAAAGAAAAGCCATCTTGCATTCAGGGAGGAAAAGTTTTTCAGCTGTAGAGAAACTGGAGATTTTTTCAGTTGTATGTCTTGGTTTCATAGGGACTGCAGATAAGACACAGAATATGTGTTTTAAGCATCCAGCCAAGTAGTGGGTCTGTGCTTGTTTCCCCTTCTGAAAACTGCCCAAACCCTCTGGAAAAGGATAACTATGTGAATAAAGATGACTGTGTCACATATTTTAAATATATGCTGTATATTCAAATTGTTAACCACAGAACCATTTACATCAGGAACACCTTTCAATCTCAGCACTATATTTATCAGAGACCGTGATCCCAAGTCCTGTGTGAACACTGGTCTGAATTTCTCATCTGCACAGCTGAGCTGGACTGTAATCCTTTAGGAACAGTTCCCTTGATTTCTTGGTTTGGGGCCCTGGTGTATGAATTCCTTTGACTTGAGTTCCTCTGAAGTTGTCTGAGAGAAAAGCAAGATAAACTCAATGTAATTGTGACTTCCTATTTTATCCCCAGCAGTTCGTGTTGAAGAACCCCCTTAGCTACTAGTGCTGCTGCCTATAAATTGCATTTTGTACCCCTCTACCAAAATTGATTTGCCTGGATACTGCACTCTCTTTGGGAATGGGATATGCTTACTCCTCTCTGGTAAAAGACTTCCTTTTAATAACAGGAAAAATCTGTCAGAGCTGATAGTGTTCCCTCTCATCCCGTCAGCCTCCCTCATTAAACAGTGTACTGTGTCAGCTCTGCAGAGGATGTTAAGTGGATTCTCTAACTTGTATTATTGGTGTTTCTCTGACAGCTCAGGCAATTTCAGTAACATGTGGTTTTCATCTCTAAGGTATTTTATATCTTCACCTGAAACTAAGAGATTTTTAACCAAGTTTTCTTACTGAAACTAGAACTTGTTTACCAACATTTTAAAGTGTCTCTTCTACATCTGGACCAAGTATGATGAGAGCTGATAAATGATTTCCTATTTTACTTTTACACCTGAGCATCCAGGGGACAGTTCAGAAGGAGGTTTATGGATATGAGGAAAAATTTCTTCACCAAAAGGGTTGTCAAGCACTGAAAAAGGCTGCCCAGAGTAGTGGTGGAGTCACCATCTCTGGATGTTTTTAAAAGAAGTGTAGATGTGGAGTCTGGAGACATGGTTTCATGGTGGTCTTGGCAGTGCTGGGTTAATGGTTGGACTCAATGATGTTTGAGGTCTTTGCCAGCCTCATTTATTCTAACTGCTTTCTTGAAAATATATCTTACACAAAAGAATCCTAAAAGTGAACAAGGGTATTGTTTTACTGAAGCTGAGTTAGTTGAATGCTATTTTCTGATGGCAGTCTTTGAATACCTGAATTTCATAAAATTACCTATGAACTGACATAAAAAAATTGAACAAATGGAACTTAGGTTGACAATCTGAACTGCTCACTGGTATATTTAGCAGAAATTACAAGTTTGTAGTGCCATCCAGAAAGGTCAGACTCTTTTAAAAAATTTTATAGTTATAAAACTAGCTGCCAGCTTTAATAGTCAAGACATTTTATAAAATGAAAGTTATGCTAAAATAGAGATGATCTAAATATAGCCATATAATATGCATAGCAGGAACCTGGCATGAATA